GGACCAGGAATGCCTGTCTCTACTGGTATCTGAGATCCAGTGAGTTCAGTGGCCTTAGTATGTTGTATAATAATCATGAAATCAAGCTGCCTATGTATTTAGTAGATTAGTTTATTCTTTCTTTCCTTTGGTTTCTCTGAATTCTGGATTTTGGATTTCTGAAATAAAGGAATTTTATTTTGTTATCTAAGTCTTTAAGTAACTTATAAAACCCATCATTTTCAGTAATAACTTCAAAAAATGAACACGTATTTGATTACTAAATATATGTATTTGTATTTTATTTGCTTATATTTTTAAGCTATACAAACATATAGTTTAATGAAGTACCATTTGCTCCAAAGTAGTTATATTTTAACCACTGTGGACCAATCCATATATGCATGCATTTCTGCTGAAAATCTAAATGCAGACAAACTATATAACTATACTGATATTATGGTAACCTAGAAGATGATTGATTATTCCAACATATATTCTTTGTTAGATTACAGGGTCTTTGAAGACAGGATGTTATCTTTTCCATGTTTGTATTCTTCTTAGAGCTAGCACAACTCATTACGTAAGGCCCCCAATCAATCAATATTTAATACATTTATAGATGATGTGTTCTCAGAGCTTTTTAAAGAATTCTGTGAGGGAAAATCTGTAATGTTCTATTCGTGTAATGGTGAGGGCACCTGTCTTGGGGGTGTTGTCTTTTCTCAGGAAGTTGTAGTCCCAGATGTTTGACAGTTCACCCTCTGAAACATACTTACTAGATAAAATGGTTATAATTACACGGGACCTTGCTAGCTCAGATTCCAATCTATGCCTCAGTCTTAACCTTCTCCCACCCCAGCGCATTCCCCACATTGGCACCAACGGAGCATTTCAAAAACACAAATCTGATCACATTCCTTCTTAAAATTCTTCTATGTAAGAATTTTCCCATGACCTTTCGAGTGTAGGTTAGGTGGCCCTCCCTCTTCTGTACTTGTGTCTGCATGTATCAGAATGCTCATCCCTCCACCACATGTGTGGATTTATGGGTTTGAAAGTGTAATGCAGGCACTGGCTTTCAGTTTTGTATCCCTAGATCCTGTCTTTTACAGAGTAGACCCATGAATAGATATTTTCACCTGTTTATTTATACCTCAACATCATTGTTCATTAAGTAATATTTTATAAATATTTCTGGCTCCACCCTTTAAATAAATTTCCTCACTACATAAACACAATAGGATGACGTGGGCCTACAGCTCAGTTCTCAAGCTGGCCATAATAAAAATTTCTGTGAAAGTCAGACAAGAAGGCAGACTTTGTGTAATTTCAGGCATGTGCTAATTTGCATGCTTGTGGGTGCCCTGTTTTATGTAATTGTCCATAAAAATGTGGCATGGAATCTTCATTATTTTTAATATAGATAGCACATGCCATCCAAATTAAAAATTTTAAGCAAATCTACTTTTTCCTCCTGTATATTAATTAGTCACTTTAAGAATTTTTGATATTATAGCTTTTGTCCTTAGGTGGGGCTGTTAAAGTTAAGTAAGTGTGAATATCTGTCAAATACAGTTCTTGCAAGAGTGCATGTACATTTTATATATTGTGAGAAAGGCATAATTAATAGCAAATTAGGATAATGAAAGTAATATACACCAGATGTAGAGAAGACCTTGTGGAAAATTAGTATGAATTAGATAACATGTGATGTGGTCAAAGCAAGCTTGTTGAGAAGAATTAAAGCAGTGGACATGTGGAGGGACAGTCAGTGGCTGTCTAGCTCCTACACCTAGGGAATAATTTAATCAAGTTTGCTATTGTAATACACAGGGCTTCATGCTGTTCCATTTTCACAAGTTGATAACGTGGGATTTGGACCTTGATTTGCAGCATTCCTATTATGGTCAAGGTTTCGAGTTGAGATGATTACTTACCAAGTAATCTAATAAAAACATCTCCATGTGTGAGAATGGAAAAGCCATGAGAGATCTTGAGTACTCTGAGTCATGCTACACATCTTCCAGTTACCACTTAATTAATACAAGTCTAATAGTTGTATTAGTAGAAAACGTAGCTCATTTTCTATTTAGTGTTCACTGGTTGGCAATAGACTAATTTTCTTTTTTCTTATTCCTTCCAAATAGTCACCAGAATTTATTATAAGAAATTGAACTTCTGTTAATTCCTTGGTTGGCTTATATAGCTACATTTTGCAGTAATGTACACATAATAATGATAATATTTTACATCTATTGAGACCTTAATATGTACCAGGCATTGTACTGTTTTACATACATTATGTCATTGAATCCTCACAATAAAGTATAGGTGTCATAATCATCATTTTCATTATCATTATTACCAACCATTTTCAGATGAGGTATTTGTTCCATAGACAGATTATGTAATTTGCCCAAGGTTACATATAGATAACAAGTGAAGGACCTGAGGTTTGAACCCCAGCACTCTACCTTCAGACCACTTGCTTTTAACCAATTTATATATATATATATATATATATATATATTTATATAATTTATATATAATGTTGTAAATGATGAGGAGAAACAATTACATCCTTTTTTATAATTACATAGAAGACATAGAATAGGTGTAGTCTTATGTGAAATGTCATCTTTATTAACTTCATTGATTTTTATCAGAAGTTACTATAGGCATAAATTGCATAGCAGTAATCTGTATGATAGGTATTGTTTTCTATTCAGTAGGGATTGTTAATTTATGAGCTTTGGAAATCTGCTTTTAGGCAGAAATGTTTAAGCTATATTCCAACTCTGAATTGTCTAGATAAATAGAAATCCACTGACATTATTCAGTAGGAGGTCTGTCAATTACAGTGTCATGGATCTACTAAGGAACTCACTAAGTGTAAATATAAACCTCATAAATATAAAGCTCAATTATGGTTAAAATTAATATGTCTAGTCCCAATGAAAACACTTGAGTTTCTTTAGTGGGACTTTGATGAGTCTATTTTTTTTTAAATCAGAAGAAATGTAAATTGAAACAGGCATATGAAACGTAGAGTCAAGCCAAGCTTTACATTTAAATTGTTAGTGTGAAAGATGAAGTGTGTGACCAGTTCTTTGAATATCTTCTGAGTATAGTAACAATTATAATACCAAGAAAAAGAAAAAGAAAAACTGCATAGTTCCTGTGTAGGTGGACTGTATCTGCTGATTGTGAGCTTCTCTCTCAAATCCTGAGATAATACCTACTTTTAATTTTTGTTGTGCATAAGCTGCTTGTTCTATAGATTTGCCATCAACATGTCTTATTTCATGCAGTTTAAATTGTCAACTGAATTCTGTTATAAATCCTCATGGATTACTTTATAGTGGAATCTTATTTGCCCATCCTCTTAGATAGGGAGAAAAATAAATGAGTCTGCTTTGTTCAGTATATTTTGAAAATCTCATATCTGTCTAGGCAGGGCTGCTCTGAGAAGCGCTTTCTAAGAGGTGCTATGTTTTTTATCTTACTTGACGTCCATATTTTTTTTTTCACAGACTTGGGATTCTAGAACACCTTTACTCTTTAGGGAAGTGTTTTCTTAATTGAATGCCAAACTACTTCAAAGTTATTTTCTTGTCAGTTATTTTAGTGTTTGTGCATGTTTATGTTAGCAAATAATTTTGATAGTAATGTTGTGTGTTCCCATTTAATGAAGGGGCTATTGAATAATCGAATGAAAAGATGAAATAAATTTTAAGTTCATGGGAAAATGTTTTTAAAAGAGAGAAAAATAATGCCTGCATGTAGAAATAAAGATTAAAATATATGAATTGACAACCAGTGTAATAAACTCAAGAGTCATTTCTTGGGGGGCAGAAGACAATACATTTTAAAAACCTAATCACTCAAAGACTTTTCGACTACATATAAAGAAGATTAAGGGGGCTTCCCTGGTGGCGCAGTGGTTGAGAATCTGCCTGCCAATGCAGACGACACAGGTTCAAGCCCTGGTCTGGGAAGATCCCACATGCCATGGAGCAACTGGGCCCGTGAGCCACAATTACTGAGCCTGCGCATCTGGAGCCTGTGCTCCGCAACAACAGAGGCCGCAATAGTGAGACGCCTGCGCACCGCGATGAAGAGTGACCCCCACTTGCCACAACTAGAGAAAGCCCATGCACAGAAATGAAGACCCAACACAGCCATAAATAAATAAATAAATAAATACATTGTGTATTATTTAAAAAAAAAAAAAAAAAAAAATCCTCACCCAAAGCCCCTTTTCCCAAAAACTTTAAAAAAAAAAAAAAAAAAAAAAGGAAGATTAAGAATGATAAATGCTGTGTAAAAAATTAGTAAGATATTAAACTTAAAAGAGTGTTATACAGAGCAGAATGGATTCCAAATGGGTTACAATTCCTGTATCATTGATAAATAAATCCAAGAACTCTTTCTTGGTAAAGTGTGAAAGCACAATAAATGTAGAAAAACTGTAACAACTAATAAGGAAATTGTATGCATAGAAAATAGCATTGAAGAAAATATGCCAAAATGTAGACCTCCATAACTATTATTGGATAGTTATGGTTTTTCATTTTTAATACCTTTTGTCTTTTTCCTAATAAACGTGATTGCTTTTGTAATGTGTGAAAATAGTTCAATTTTTTAACAATTTAGCTTAAAAGGTAAGAATTTTCTTTGACTTCCATATATTGTGTTTGACCTTATGCAGGAAAGGAGGGACTTCATATATATTTTTTATTTAGATGCTTATTTTTGTTATTAATTCATATGGTTTTCCATTTCTTTAGAAAGATGTACGGGACATCCTCACCCCAATTCAGATTGAAGCCGCTTACCACCTGGGGCATCATGTCATCAGTAAACGAAGTACAGAGGAATTCCCACCACTTCAGCCAATTCTTCAGCAGAAGAAAGAAAAAGACATCATTGCAAAAACAGTAGGAATTTTTTCCTTTATTTGAAACATCATGTGACATATAACTGAAGAAATTTTTTTGAAATAGTACATAGTTCTGAGGAAATGAACTCTCTGAATTTTTTAAAAATTTTAATGAATGTTTTTATAAAAAAGATTTATGGTATGTCTTGTTTTCCATTTTTCTTTATTTTTTATATTCCCTTTAGGATATTGAACTGAATACTTTTAAATATGCATTTAGTCATAACAGTGGTTTCCCATATACATAAAATGTTAATTTTCTCTCCTTGATGCCTTGCCAGTGAAGAAAATATATTTCCAGAGAGCACTCCTAATGGAAGTGAGTTGCATTCATGAGTTATTCAGCATCGTCATGTGTGTTCAGCTTATCTTTCTCATTTTCTGTCTCCTTTTTCAGTTTGTCTCCCTCTCACTCCCCCTACCCACAGATTCACTCATGTCTTGTTAGTCAGATTTTACTCATTCATAAACGTGTATCTATGTTACACAACAGTTTCTCTTTTTAACTTAACTGTATGTGCATTTTGAGATGGATCCTGCATTCTAAACAGTGAACTGCTTTTTAAACTGTATCCCTGAAGTGATGAAAGAGAAAAACCTACAACCAAGATTACTCTACCCAGCAAGGATCTCATTCAGATTCGATGGAAAAATTAAAAACTTCACACACAAGCAAAAGCTAAGAGAATTCAGTGCCACCAAACCAGCTTTACAGCAAATGCTAAAGGAACTTCTCTAGGCAGGAAACACAACAGAAGGAAAAGACCTACAAACACAAACCCAGAACAATTAAGAAAATGGTAATAGGAACATACATATCAATAATTACCTTAAATGTAAATGGATTAAATGCTCCAACCAAAAGACAGAGACTGGCTGAATGGATACAAAAAAAAGCCCCATATACATGCTGTCTACAAGAGACCCACTTCAGACCTAGGGACACATACAGACTGAAAGTGAGGGGATGGAAAAAGATACTCCATGCAAATGGAAATCAAAAGAAAGCTGGAGTAGCAATTCTCATATCAGGCAAAATAGACTATAAAATAAAGACTATTACAAGAGACAAAGAAGGACACTACACAATGATCAAGTGATCAATCCAAGAAGATATAACAATTGTAAATATTTATGCAGCCAACATAGGAGCACCTCAATACATAAGGCAAATGCTAACAGCCATAAAAGGGGAAATTGACAGTAACACAATCATAGTAGGGGACTTTAACACACCCCTTTCACTAATGGACAGATCATCCAAAATGAAAATAAATGAGAAAACACAAGCTTTAAATGATACATTAAACAAGATGGACTTAATTGATATTTATAGGACATTCCATCCAAAAACAACAGAATACAGTTTCTTCTCAAGTGCTCGTGGAACATTCTCCAGGATAGATCACATCTTGGGTCACAAATCAAGCCTTGGTAAATTTAAGGAAATTGAAATCGTATCAAGTATATTTTCCGACCACAATGCTATGAGACTAGATATCAATTACAGGAAAAAATCTGTAAAAAATACAAACACATGGAGGCTAAACAATACACTGCTTAATAATCAAGAGATCACTGAAGAAATCAAAGAGGAAATCAAAAAATACCTAGAAGCAAATGACAATGAAAACATGAAGACCCAAAACCTATGGGATGCAACAAAAGCAATTCTAAGAGGGAAGTTTATAGCAATACAGAATCCTACCTCAAGAAACAAGAAACATCTCAAATAACCAACCTAACCTTACACCTAAAGCAATTAGAGAAAGAAGAAGAAAAAAAACCAAGGTCAGCAGAAGGAAAGAAATCATAAAGATCAGATCAGAAATAAATGAAAAAGAAATGAAGGAAACAGTAGCAAAGATCAATAAAACTAAAAGCTGGTTCTTTGAGAACATAAGCAAAATTGATAAATCACTAGCCAGACTCATCAAGAAAAAAAGGGAGAAGACTCAGATCAATAGAATTAGAAATGAAAAAGGAGAAGTAACAACTGACACTGCAAAAGTACAAAAGATCATGAGAAATTACTACAGGCAACTGTATGCCAATAAAATGGACAACCTGGAAGAAATGGACAAATTCTTAGAAAAGCAGAACCTTCTGAGACTGACCCAGGAAGAAATAGAAAATATAAACAGACCAATCACAAGCACTGAAATGGAGACTCTGATTAAAAATCTTGCAACAAACAAAAGCCCGGGATCAGATGGCTTCACAGGCAAATTCTATCAAATATCTATAGAAGAGCTAACACCTATACTTCTCAAACTCTTCCAAAATATAGCAGAGGAAGGAACACTCCCAAACTCATTCTGTGAGGCCACCCTGATACCAAAACCAGACAAAGATGTCACAGAGAAGGAAAACTATAGGCAATATCACTGATGAACATAGATGCAAAAAACCTCAACAAAATCCAATGGCACATTAAAAGGATCATACAGCATGATCAAATGGGGTTTATTCCAGGAATGCAAGGATTCTTCAATATACGCAAATCAATCAGTGTGATAAACCATATTAACAAATTGAAGGAGAAAAACCATATGATCATCTCAATAGATGGAGAGAAAGCTTTCGACAAAATTCAACACCCATTTAAGATAAAAACCCTCCAGAAAGTAGGCATAGAGAGAACTTACCTCAACATAATAAAGACCATATATGACAAACCCACAGCCAACATCATCCTCAATGGTGAAAAACTGAAACCATTTCCACTAAGATCAGGAGCAAGACAAGGGTGCCCACTCTCAACACTGTTATTCAACATAGTTTTGGAAGTTTAGCCACAGCAATCAGAGAAGAAAAAGAAATTAAAGGAATCCAAATCAGAAAAGAAGATGCAAAACTGTCACTTTTTGCAGATGACATGATACTATACATAGAGAATCCTAAAGGTGCTACCAGAAAACTACTAGAGCTAATCAATGAACTTGGTAAAGTAGCAGGATACAAAATTAATGCACAGAAATCTCTTGCATTCCTGTACAGTAATGATGAAAAATCTGAAAGAGAAATTAAGGAAATACTCACATTTACCATTGCAACAGAAGAATAAAACACCTAGGAGTAAACCTACCTAAGGAGACAAAAGACCTGTATGCAGAAAACTATAAGACACTGATGAAAGAAATTAAAGATGATACAAACAGATAGAGAGATATACCATGTTCTTGGATTGGAAGAATCAACATTGTGAAAATGACTCTACTACCCAAAGCAATCTACAGATTCAATACAATCCCTATCAAACTACCACTGGCATTTTTCACAGAACTAGAACAAAAAATTTCACAATTTGTATGCAAACACCAAAGACCCTGAATAGCCAAAGCAATCTTGAGAAAGAAAAACGGAGCTGTAGGAATCAGGCTCCCAGACTTCAGACTATACTACAAAGCTACAGCAATCAGGACAGTATGGTACTGGCGCAAAAAACAGAAATATAGATAAATGGAACAGGATAGAAGGCCCAGAGGTCAACCCACGCTCATATGGTCACCTTATTTTTTATAAAGGAGGCAAGAATATACAATGGAGAAAAGACAGCCTCTTCAATAAGTGGTGCTGGGAAAACTGGACAGCTACATGTAAAAGAATGAAATTAGAACACTCCCTAGCACCATACGCAAAAATAAACTCAAAATGGATTAAAGACCTAAATGTAAGGCCAGATACTCTCAAACTCCTAGAGGAAAACATAGGCAGAACACTCTGTGACATAAATCACAGCAAGATCCTTTTTGTCCCACCTCCTAGAGAAGTGGAAATAAAAACAAAAATAAACAAATGAGACCTAATGAAACTGCAAAGCTTTTTCACAGCAAAGGAAACCATAAGCAAGACCTAAACACACCCCTCAGTATGGGAGAAAATATTTGCAAATGAAGCAACTGACAAAGGATTCATCTCCAAAATTTACAAGCAGCTCATGCAGCTCAATATCAAAAAAGGAAACAACCCAATCCAAGAATGGGCAGAAGACCTAAATAGACATTTCTCCAAAGAAGATATACAGTTTGCCAACAAACACATGAACGAATGCTCAACATCACTAATCATTAGAGAAATGCAAATCGAAACCACAATTAGGTATCACCTCACACCAGTCAGAATGGCCATCATCAAAAAATCTAGAAACAGGGCTTCCCTGGTGGCGCAGTGCTTGAGGGTCCGCCTGCACAACCCAATCCAAAAATGGGCAGAAGACCTAAATAGACATTTCCCCAAAGAAAGAATGCTCAACATCATTAATCATTAGAGAAATGCAAATCAAAACTACAGTGAGATATCATCTAACACCAGTCAGTATGGCAAAAAAAAAAAAATCTAGAAACAATAAATGCTGAAGAGGGTGTGGAGAAAAGGGAACCCTCCTGCACTGTTGGTGGGAATGTAAATTGATACAGCCACTATGGAGAACAGTATGGAGGTTCCTTAAAAAACTAAAAATAGAACTAGCATACAACCCAGCAATCCCGCCACTGGGCCTATACCCTGAGAAAACTATAATTCAAAAAGAGTCATGTACCACAATGTTCATTGCAGCTCTATTTACAATAGCCAGGACATGGAAGCAACCTAAGTGTCCATCGACAGATGAATGGATAAAGAGGATGTGGCACATTTATACAATGGAATATTACTCAGCCATAAAAAGAAACAAAACTGAGTTATTTTGTAGTGAGGGGAATGGACCTAGAGTCTGTCAGATAGAGTGAAGTAATTCAGAAAGAGAAAAACAAATACCATATGCTAACACATATATATGGAATCTAAAAAAAAAGAAAAGTTATGAAGAACCTAGGGGCAGGGCAGGAATAAAGATGCAGACGTAGAGACTGGACTTGAGGATACAGGGGAGGAGAAGGGTAAGCTGAGACGAAGTGAGAGAGTGGCATGGACATATGTACAACTACCAAACGTAAAATAGCTAGCTAGTGGGATGCAGCCGCATAGCACAGGGAGATCAGCTCAGTGCTTTGTGACCACCTAGAGGGGTGGGATAGGGAGGGTGGGAGGGAGGGAGATGCAAGAGGGAAGAGATATGGGGACATATGTATATGTATAATTGATTTACTTTGTTATAAAGCAGAAACTGACACACGATTGTAAAGCAATTATACTCCAATAAAGATGTTTAAAAAAAATTTTAAATAAATAAAATGTATCCCAGAATATATCAGTTTCACTCACTGTGTGTTTATTCCCAGGAGTCCAGTTGTTCAGACTTTTACTGTCCAACAACACAAAGAGTCAACAGGATGTTTGGGGCCATGGTTAAAGCATTCATTAAAACATTCAGTAATGGCACACAGAATGCAAAAGATGAAAGGGACATTTAAAGGTCTAGTTCATATGCTGTCCAGATAAAATTGCCCCTAAGTCGCTTTAACATATTTGAGCTTACAGTCAGCCCTGTCTGGTCTACAATACTAGATCAAGTGAAGATAATAAATTAAGAGCACAGTCTTTCTATAGCCTTGTATGAAAATATTTATGGAAGTCGGTTTTTTTCACTCTTCTGTTGAACTTCAGTTTTCAATATCAACTACTTTTAAATGTCTTTAATAATGAACATCTCAATATTGTAAAGTACATAAGCCCAAACCTTAGCAATTTGTAGTTATATTAGAATGAGCTACAAATGAGCTACATTTTGATTCTTCAAGCCACCTGCTTTACGAATAAGAGAAGTAGAAAAAAATTAATAATATAGAGAACGGTTTACACTTTCCCGCTGCTCCCGCTGGTATAGGCAGTCTCTGTTCTGACATGCCATTTGACAACACTCTACCCACTTCACATTTCATGTGCCTGGCTCCTTCTCTGACTTTCTAGATTTCTTTCTTTTCTGCATCTCTCCCTCTCTCACCTGTTCCTCTCAGTTTCCTTTCTTTTTGTATCTCTCTATTTTTCCTTTGTCCCGCTTATACCTCAGGGCTTCCTGTGTACCTTGCAGTATCTCTGGGTACTATTAAAATACTCAGAATTAAATAAATTCTGGAACCTGTTGATAAACTATCATTTATTTTTATTCACTGTATCCTCAAAGTAAAATTTCTAAATTTTATTATTTTCATCCAATATAAAATCACTGTTCTGCCATCTGTGAAAATTAAGTGTCATGCGTATGCATAATAGGCAGGATCAAACGGCAGCACCAGAAAATTGAGAGGGACTCAACGAAGAAAATCTTGGCAGCACAGGTTCTAAACATTTACAGAGGTTACTACCACAGTCTGATTAAACTTCTTTTTATACAACTATTATGAAAGAAAGAAATTATTTCTTTCGCTTAACACACTTAGGCTTTATATTTACCTGTTGAAAGAACATGGTTCCTTTAGCCCTGGAATTGTCATCTGAACCTACTGATACTCAAATTGAACTCTTCAAAAGGTATAAAGGAGTTATCAATTTGCTGTATTAATTTTATTTTTTCATGTGTCATAGATATTTTATCCTTTAAAAAACATAGAAATATACCTACTGATTTGAACTAAGATAAAAAATACTGTCATATTTTATTTCCAGATAAACTTTGCAAGATTTTGTGCCCATGAAAACTGTTCTGCTGATTTACAGGTTTCTGCAAAAATTGGATTTTTGAGGTAAGTGTAGTTGGCTCTCTGCTTACTTATCAGGATGGGGTAATTGGTGTGTGCATGTGGGTTCTAAAGAGTAAAGGACTAAGAACTAATCCTTGGGGGTTAGCAGCATTTAAAGACCTGGAAAAGAACAGCAGTCTCATTCTGCTGAAAGAGACTAAATGTTCTATACAGCAGTCACATAAGTATACACTCAAAGATTACCAGTTTTCAAAAGAATGAGAATGTGTGAGCCCCCTGGTTTTATCAAGCATGATTTTAACCTTTCACTGATAACTCGAAAGATATTTCAGGATTTAAATGTGCTTTGGGTTATTGTTATCATAATTGTAGTTATTTTTCAGACATCTGTAAGTGCCTGTTAAGAGAGTTTTGGTTCAAAATGAGCTAACCTTTACTACATAATGCTTAGTATTTTATCATCCCAAAACTGGTTACATAATTCAGATTGATGTACAAAACAAAGATATCCCTAAATATATATGTGACCCATTTGAAAGGGAATAAATCATCTTTGTCTTCTAAATTCATAGAAGGGAAACAGGAAAAAGAAAATACATGTCAATGTGCTTAGAATAGTGCACACAGTGCAAACTGGATAAATATTGATTGCTGTCATTATTTATGTTGGGAAATAAACCATTGTAATTCTGTATCATGTCTATATCCCCTCTGTTGAAATCGTTCTGCATGTCAGAGGGAGGATGTGAAAATGAGGACCAGAGAGAGAGAATCCACACCTCAGGTTAAGAGCTGGTTGTGTATGGAAAGTGAAAGGGGGCAAGGAGGCATCACTGACAGGGCAGGAATGTGGGAGACTGTTTGGGGGAGGTAGGGATATAGAGGAAGCAGGTTTAAATTGGGGTGTGTTGAATTTGATGAGACTTCTATATGTAGCTCTGCAGTGGACAGTCTAGTTCAGGATTATGTTTGGAGGTCCTCTTCACATTAGTTATGAGAATGCCTGCGATGGGAATGTGAATTTCACCAAGAACTAAGGATCAAATCTTGAGAGGGGTGGGTAAATTTTATGTAAAGAGCTTAAAAAGAATAAGGACTTAACTCCAGGAGACTGAAAAAGTATCTTCATCGAACTAAGAGAAAAACCACCTCCACGGTGAAATAGCCAATGGAGAATGTTAAAAGAGGGACCTAATACTGTGATTTTGTAGCAATCAGAGAGCATAATGACTGAGGAAAGGTCATGGAAGTTGGCACTTAAAATGTGACTGGTGGGGGGAGAAAAAGGATGTCGCTGGCAAATTTTAACAGAAATTTCTGTGCAGTCATAGCTAAATGGCAGCATCAGTGATTAACGGAAGGAGAATTTATTAGGAACAAGTAGGTTCAACTGAATTTTTATGTATTTATCAAATGTTATTTAATTATGGGAAGATGTAAACAAGTGTGAGGATCAAAGGCAGGGAAAAGAATAAATTGAACAAAGAAATAGTCTGCTTAAATCCAGGGGACACTTCAGATATTACTTGAACTGTCCTGTGAAGAATTTGACAGCTGTTCATTTCCTTTTTGTCAATGTCTTTTGCTTTAATTTCCCGGATGCCATACTACTCCCAATCTCCTTTTACTTCTCTAGCCCCTCCTTCTCACTTGTGTTTGGAGGACCACTGAATTTGCCTCTTTTGGCTCCCTTAATAGCCCTCTCTCACTCCTTCTCACGCTCCCATATTTTCCCTGGATAATCTTGCCCACAACCATAACCTCACCTGGTCTGCCTCCACTGCTGATGCCCAAATCAGTGTCTCTGAGTTCCACACCCACCCATCCAGCTGGCTATCAGACATACAGTCTTGGGTGCCCAGTCACTATCCACCAGTGACACAACCATTAGTTAGTTACCAAAGCCAACAACCTGGAGCTCAACCTGCATTCTTTTCTCTCTCTTATCCCTGACATCAAATAAATTACCAAGTCCTATAATACTACCACCCAGATGTGTTTTTTATCCATCATACTTCTCCATCTCTACTACTGTTGCTCCAAATCAGGCACTCAATATCCTACCTGAATCGCTGAGCTTTACCACTGTCTGGGCTACTGGCCTCTGATTTTACATTATTCAAATTCCTCTACCAAGATGTTTCCAGAGTGACCTTTCTAACTTACACTTTTGATAGCAAGGCTTCAGTAGCTCATTAACATCTAAAGTCCTTAGTGCACTTCCTCAGCAATTCCACAGGACTTTTTTCCATTGATTGCAGAATAGTTGTAGGGCCGTGCCATGCTCTCCTGAGCCTCTGTATCTTTTCACTTTGACTTATCTATCTGATTAATGCTTATTTATCTTACAAATCTCAGCTGTTTTCTAGGTAAAGCCCCCCCACCCCCCACTTGGTCTCCAGCTACATAAACCTGGTCCTGCTGTGGCCCTGGTCCCATTGCACCTGTGTTCAGAACTATTGTTGTCTGTCTCCACACTATTCTGTACACTGCTTTAAGGTGGGTTCCCGTCTTTTCATCTTTGCATTCCCAGTATGTAACACAGTGCCTGGAACACTGTAGGTGACAAGTGGATGTTTGCTGAGGATGGAACAGGGTCCTAAAGGAAACAGCATGTACCTGGGATCAGACTCAGGTAGAAGGGTTAGCCTTAGAAAGAAGTTAAGATTCCCCTTATCTTGAGCTAAGAAGCTATGAATAAATGCTGACATTGATTAAGAAATTTTAATGTGGAAGGGAGGGAAATATAGAGAACTAATGGATGGCCAGAATAAAAAATGAGTTTGTATATGGAAGGTGAGGGCTCTGAGGTTGGGTTTGGGACCTTGTGAAGGGAATGGGAAAAGATTCAAAATAGCTGTTACGATAAATGGGATAGGGAATCAACCAGGAATGAGTAAAAAGGTTGACAAACAGCACTGAGTACCCTGCTGGGGTGGGATCACATATGGCAGAGAATAAATTAATTCTTTTCACCTAGGCAATGCCAGGATAGCCTTGAGCATCCACAGTTGAGGGCCAAGAAGCCCTAACCTATTTGATAGATAATTGGACTTTATACTTAAATTATCCAGATTGGCTGCTTAGATAGGCCAAAAACAGCAACCGCTAACTGCTTTGTAATCCAGCATGTAATTGTGGTGCCTTTGTTGAATTATTAGATGAATAATTTATAACCTTCCCATTCACATATTTATTTTCTTTCTAAAATGCTTAGTCTTCCTGGTGCTTTTGCTCTCATGGGCCTTTGATAAGAAGAAGTATTTTGTGTGGGAAAGATTACCTAAGCTACAAATAAGTGGTGTTTTCATCTTCTCAAATCAGACACTTCCATGGTTACCTTGTCAATCTTTTACTGCTGTCCCTCTGGCCTGTGAAAAAAATGAGATGTTGAAATTTATATGGAAATATTACTGAGAATGCTTATTTCCTGAAGAATGAAAATAATATTTTACTGAATTAAGGTATTAAATCATTAATGTAATTGAATTATCAGTTTTTCTTTATTACGTATCTCTCATGAGAAATTACATTACCTACATTGCATTTTTAATTTGAAGTGATAATGTTTCCTGTAGTCGAAATATCAAGTCCATTATGATTTTATATGGCAGCCAACAGAAGGTAAGGCAGTTTTTCTCAAGGTGTGGTCTTTGAGTCACCTTCATGAGAATCACCTGGGATGCTTGGTAGAAATGCAGGCTCCTAGGCCCCTGACCATTCCAAATCAGAATCCATGGGGACCAGGCCAGAGATGTTCATTATTAAGAAGGCTGTCAGGGCTTCCCTGGTGGCGCAGTGGTTGAGAGTCCGCCTGCTGATGCAGGGGACACGGGTTCGTGCCCCGGTCCGGGAAGATCCCACGTGCCGCGGAGCGGCTGGGCCCGTGAGCCATGGCCGCTGAGCCTGCGCGTCCTGAGCCTGTGCTCCGCAACGGGAGAGGCCACGGCAGTGAGAGGCCCGAGTACCACCAAAAAAAAAAAAGAAGGTTCTCAGTGGTTCTTATCAAGCTGAAATCTGAGAACCAGTGTTGTGGTGGTTTAGAGTTTAGATTTGAGGTCAGGCTAACCTGGTTCAAGTCTATCTACCATTTACTAGCTGAATGACCTTTTCGGAGAAGCCTTTCAACCTCTGTAAACTCCCTTCCTCATTGGCAAGAAGGTGAAATAGTACTCTGTAAGATTGTTTTAAAAATAAAATGCAATAATGCAGGCCAGTGCATTGCATAGCACAAAGCCTGGTACATATGAAGATTTGAGAAAAGTTGTTATTTTTGATAAATTATGGTTGGAATAGTTATAGACCACGATAAAAATGTTTTCATTTGGATAAAAGAATTAAATATTGCCAGTGAATTCTAAACATTTTCTGCACGTGTACTGGTTATTTGTCCAGAGTTTATTGTTTCTTTATGTCCCGAGATAGCTGCTGACTGTGCCTGGGTCAGTTGTTTTCAGTTCTGTGAAGTTTGTAGTGGCCTAAAGGCCAGTGTAAAATATAAGCCCCACATGTTTTGCATCAGTTAGGAAGATTACAGGCTATTTCCATTACGTAAATAACTTATTTGAAGAGTTTTCAAATGAAAACCCTTTGAATTAATTTTTAGGCCCACAGGTGAAGGGTTCTGACAAACTACTTTGCATTTTAATAAGTGATACTCTCTCAGAGAACAATCTGCCTCTCCCTCAAAGGAGTCCTCTCTGCCTTCTCGGTCGTGGTAGGCAAATTGCAACCATATGTTCTATGCCTTCTCCCGACTGTAACTCCGCTGGCACTAATGGTATTTCTGTGTCTCAGAGCTACATACCTGCTTCAGGTATGATGAGTTTCTGATGACTGCACTAATAGACTGCCGACAGCAAACTAAATAGTGTTGATGCACTCCATCTCATGTTTTCGTTAAGTTGAGGCTTCCTCCTGAATCTCTAAATTCTCAGGACAGTAAACCACGTTGAAATGGACTTACAGTGCGAAATGAAAATGAACTAATATGACTTTATCTAAAAGATTACAAATAGAACAGCAGGTATTAACCATCACCT